AAAGAAAAATAAATCAAATTCTATCATATTAATAATACAATCAAAAACATTTTACACGTAAACCTTAATTAAGTTTGTAAATAAATTTCATCGAATACTTGAATTTTAGCTGGGATTTTTTAATTTTTAGTATTTATTTTATATTAGGAGCCTCAAAGTCTTGCTTAAAATTCCCAGTAATTCTCAAACATTCCTAGAAATTCCTGAAAATTCCTGGACATTCCTAGAAATTCCTCGGATTTACAGCTTTTCAGGGAAAGTCATTGGTGCTCTGAGTTATAATTCTTAGGAATTCCAAGTCCTGTTGGCTATAAACTTGGAATTTCTGGCAATTTCTAGGTTTTTAGGACCAGAGTTGTTAAAATTGGGAATTCCCAGTCCGACTTTACTGCGAAAATTCACACCTCTTATTCCTAAGACTTCCTACAATAATCCTGGGAATTCCAAGGAATTCCAAAATCCATTTCGCAAGGATAATCTCTTGCCATTCAGCGTCAATTTTCTTTCCAAAAACAAATACAACAACCAATGAAACTAAAAAGGTTTAATAATTATTTTTACTAATAAGAGATAATAGAAGCACTTTATTTCTAATTTTAGTTTATATCTTTCCCAATCACTGGAGAAAAAAAAGCTCTTTTTACATTAATTGCTTTTCAAATTCCCTTAATCCACACTTGTTTATCAGCTTATTTAGCTTGTCATAAAAGGTGGAAAATAACCTGGAGGGATCCTCAGCAAATGATAATGACTCCCATGTGAGTTCCGACAATTCCTGCAAAAACATTGCTGCAAAAAACTTGAAAGGTCGTGAGTTGCCATTCTTCAAGGTTTGGTGGTTTCAATAGTTGATTTAAGAACAGAAAATTGAGAAAAATAATGAGTGAGATCTGGAGCGTCACAATCTAGATCGATACCTGAATTTACATTAAGACTAAATAGGTCAACCTCACGAAAGCTTGTGAGTCTGTCAACAAAAACATTAGAAAGGAATGAAAGAACTTATCTTTGTGACAAGTATTGTATTGCATTCTTCCTGTGCCATACTATGCAGTACAGTGAGGTTCTTCACCCTGATAGGCCGGCTGTTTTCAGTTTTCCAGAGGCAGATGGTTTGGGTCTTTGCCCAGCAATAAGCATAGCTTCACCTATTCTTAAAGTTTTTGGCTTTTAAATAATAGCTCCTGAGCTTTTTTGGGGTTAGGTTATCCAAGATATCAGCATTTGAAAGATCACCATTATTAATACCAACGGCTGTTGGGTTTGCTTGATTAATTTCCCGTCGATGTGACATGACATCTTCTCGAGCGATTCTTTGTACAAATTTGCAAATTATTGGTTTCAGGCTAATCGAAGATGAATTTCGGCTGGGCACTCTGTGTGCAGTATGAATGTCGTTAAGTGTAAACATTAGCACCCATAGCATTAAAAAGTCAGATACAGAGTTTAGCCATTTAAAGAGCAGGTCTCTGCTTAGGCAGATCAATTTCTTGGACTCCCAATAACTTAATTTTGAAGTTCTAAATGAATTGTACCAAACCTGGTCAGCTTAAGACACAGACTGCATACCGCAGACCGAGGGTAAAATTCAGACGAAGACTGCAGAACAGGGGTAAAATGTAGACTCCGTTCATCGGTTGAAATTTATGGATATTCCTAGTTTATCTTAAAGATTAAACTTAAAACGAACTTGAGACTTTTACTTGCTCTTAATTTGTTTCAAAGTAAGACTACGCCATTTTTCCAATGAATAAAAACACGTCACAGCAAAACAAAATTTCTTAAGCAGCCTTGTCAGCCACGTAGGTTAAGTTGACCATGATACCCTACGATTTATTTCAGGTTAATACTGAAGTAAAACACCCAGCGGAATAAGAAAGGCAAACGCCTGGGAATATTCTTCGGAGGTTTTTAATTACATTCTTATCTCGCATCCACAAATTTGCATTAAATTTAAAGAATTTGCACGCCTAACTTCGCAGCGCAAAACAAAGGTACGACAAACAGGTTTTTAGTGTCCAAGTAATCGAAATTGCCAATATGCGAAGAAAGTCTATCACTGATACTTTGAAGGCCGAATGAATTTTGCATGAGCTGCATATATGTTCAAGCTACCTAACGTTGCTCAGCAGAACTGTTTATTCCTTAACAAGGGAAATGTATTCAGCTGGCTGTGAACTGCATATTTAAACACTTACGTTTCTAATCGTGATGCAAATTTTCAACGGAAATGTTGATGAAAATTATCGCCGCTTCGTCTTCCTAGTGAATCATTCATGTATGTCAGTAACCCTCTGGTGTAAGGTAGCGAGGCTGAACAGACTGCATCAGCTCTTTAGGTGTATAGATCAAAGTTACTGGCAGTGAAAGTTTACTTAATAAAAGTGTAGTTATAAGAATTCTCGACAGGGTTTCTGCTTCTTCTCTTATGAATTCCCTGCATAACATTTCCAATTAAACAGTCTTTCCAGTATAACTATAATACATCATTGCTTGATAAAAAGTATTCTCGTTCTTGAGGAAAGAATTCCCGACCTAGTGGCAAGAGTTTCTGAAATAGAGATTCGTCTCAAGATATTCAGATGGAAAGCATTCTTAACAGAATTCTCTACAAGTTTGGTCGCGAGAAGCTTGATTCTTCTTGAAAGAATCGCAATCAAATTATTATTGATATAAGAATTTTGGATCTTAGTAAACCAAAAAAACATATTCGATCTCGTGACAAGTTCACAAAACCTATGTTAGCGATGGGTTGAATCTTTGATGAGTTGGATAGATGAAGGTTCTAACTAACACATTTATTTATTTCTAGAAATATACGCATGGCTACCAGCATTCACTCTGAGTTATCGATCACAACATCCACCGACTAATGGTGGGCACAAGCGGAGAACTCTTCTTTAATAGTATCAAATCAATAGCTTGCCATTTTTAGGCTCACACCGATTACCCTCAATCGATTTGCTTTTTTAGGCTCACACCGATTACCCTCAATCGATTTGCACGATGATTTCTTGGGAAATTCAGCACCTATTTTTAACGTGACACCAGCCACAATTAACTCAATTTTCGAAGTGTTAAGAACATCACAATTTTCGCGTACGCACAAGTTCGGATGTATCAACTAGAAAACCGATATCATTTCCGGGATCGCTTAAAATTTTCAACCGATTATCCAATACTTTCAAGAGATTTGAAAGAACCTTTTCTGGGTATCAAGTCCAATCAAGAACGTACAAAGCTACATAGCATTGTCTATTTTGAGCTAAAATTTGCAAAAAAACTTACCATCCACCTTCGCTTTCTCGGATTCATTCTGCCAGAAGTTTCAGGAATTTCAGAAAGCCTTAAGAAAAGGTTCTTTCAACTGGTATAAATCTGAAGCACTGATAATTCCTAGAAAGAAAATACCTGAGCGCCTTCCACGCTCAACGTACATGTTCGTGACTCGACAAACACCGGTGAAAAACAATGGAAAAGTCGTAAAAAATGAAGTGGGTAGAATTACAGTATTTGTATTACTTCGCTCTGTGATTGGACAACATAAAACGCCTTCCCTTTTTTACTGGGATACCTGTGGTAGCCCAGTCATAAAACGCCTTCGTTATTTTGTCGTCTTTTTTTTTCCTCCGCCACAAAATGGAAAAATTGCGCAATAGTATCCAGTTGTCAAAAGGTGGAAAAAAACAGTGAAGCAAAATAATGTAGCTTACACCTCTAGTGTTCAGAGGAAACTTTACTTCAAACAGTATTATTTCCTTAAGTCTATTTAACATCAATAATAGTTAGTTGATAGTTGATGTTGATATGTTCACATTTTATAAAATAACATCTTAAGAACATCTGATTAACATGATCAGAATGTTACCTCTTTCGCTCCTGTCTTTTCTGAGAGTTTGTTTCTTAAGTTAAATCTCACCAAAACCGGAACCGCGTTTTTCTCAGCTGCCTTTTGTTAGCTGGGAAACGAACCAGGAGTTCAATGTCAACGACCAGCGGTTACCGCTCTAAGAGTCACATCTTTCCCAACATGGCGGATACGTCGACGTTGTTCCAAGGTATATTTCGACTATAAATTTTTATTCTTTGAAATTGCAAGGAATGAAAAGGGACTAAATTTAATAGTAAGTCTTTTAAATGCTACTTCAAATATCTCGTTATCCTTTTTGTTCGAAGATTTGAAGTTTTTGCTCGCTAAAATTAACCTCTACTGTGCGGCATGTGTGCTGTATTGCGTTATTTATTTGCCATCATTTTCTCGCATTATTTAAATGGATCTCAATTAATATTGGATTTAATTTTTCTAGTTCTCCCAGGGATGTCCCTCTCACTCAAACACGTTTGCCTTGGTGTTCTTGTACTCCAGACTTCATCTTTAGTTCTAACGATGAGATACTCGAGAACGCTTCATCAAGAGGGCGATCCCATGTATATTGCTTCTACTGCCGTAGTGTTCGCTGCAATTTTTAAAGTGTGTGCGTGTGTAGCGGTTATTTTTCATCAGTCAAAGTTCCGATGTTCCGTTTTTCTTGACTTATGACAAGCCATGGGAGACCCTCAAGTTGGCGGTACCCTCAGGGTTGTACACGATTCAAAATAATCTTCTGTTTGTTGCTCTGTCTAATTTGGATGCTGCCACGTATCAGGTGGGTAGATGAGGGGGAGGCTGGCTCTCGGAGATACTTTCCAAATTGACTGGATCTTATTTAGCTAGCGCAATTATTATTCCATGTTTAGTTGATGCACATTTGTACGTGTACGTTGACTTATTATAAAAACTGTAATTAAATTGATTGATAAATATCTGAGTCGGCTACTCCCGAAAATACGTTGTGTCCTTTTATACGCATTGTTTATATTGTTTGACATCTGAGATATGAATTATTTAAAGCATGGAAAGAATCTTTGCAATGAAAATAGTAGTGATATTTATTCATTCTTTTCCTTTCCAGGTTACATATCAACTGAAGATTTTAACTACAGCTTTATTCTCTGTGTGCATGCTTCACAAAAAGTTAGGTGTTTTAAAATGGATTTCCCTTCTCCTCCTTATGCTTGGAGTTACTTTAGTTCAGGTGAGATTGTATTTTGGGATACTCAAGGATCAATGCTAATGGCACAAGATTTTCATGGCTTATTTTGTACTGATTTTATTTTGTGATATCATCAATATCCCAGATATCTTAATACAGAGTGGTGAGTGAAATATTGCCACGTGGCCCCATGTGTGCCTATTACATGCATGCAGGGCTAAGCTTCACTCTTAACCTTTTAACTCCTAAGAGTGACCAAGACAAAATTTCTCCTTACTATATCGATACAATATCATGCAGACAATTGATGAGAATAAAAGAAAATATCCATTATGGAATTACTTATTGATCCCATACCAAATTCTCCAAACGAACATAATGAGAATCATTTGGTAGACAGTAAGGAGAATTATCCCTCCCCTCCCTATCCTAGGCATTTTTTTTTCATCTTCCCTCAACAGTTCTCTGATAATGATTCACACTCTGGAAAGGGGAGAGGTGTTGTAAGGGAAAAAATCTTGTCCAGAAATGCAACACACTACTTCTATTGGGGCCACATCCAAGACCTCTATCAATTTGGTATTAATTTCACCAACCAGTAGTTCACAATATTCTGATTATCGCCTCCTTAGTTTCGTTGTTTTACTCACTCTGCTCTTACCCTCAGAGATTTTTTACCAATTTGATACAGCAGTTTAAACACTTCATCTGAATGTTTAGGTCTTGCTTGCCATTAACCCTTTAACTCCTATGAATGACCAAGACATAATTACAATATCATTACAATATCAATATCAATATCGTTACAATATCAATACAATATCAACCCGACAAGAGATATGAATAAAGAAAAATATCAATTTGGGAATAATTAGTTGATCCAATACTAAGTTCTCTGAACTAATATCATATGAATTGTATGATTGACAATAAGGAGAATTATAAATTTGATCTGATTATTAAAGGGTTAAATATACCTTTCAATATGCTACTCTTACTCTGAATATTCTTTGCTATTCACCTTTGAACAATTGCACCAGAATATATTGTTATCATCCTAGGAATTAAAGAGTGAAAATCATCTTTTTGTGCTATATTATTTCACTTTTTTTGTGTATACTGCAACTATTCACTTCAGTGTCAATGGCCAGCAATGGATAGTTACCCCACAGCTTTGGTCTTCTGTAGGTATCTACCACAAGCCACTCCTTAATTATCCCTTTCTTTGACTTTTTGTGTATTTGTTTTTCTTGTTAATAGTGGCATCCAGATAAAGGTGAAGAATCCCCTACAAAGGATACTTCAGTATCACGAAAATTTATAGGACTTATAGCTGTTCTCACAGCCTGTTGTTCCAGTGGATTTGCTGGGGTCTATTTTGAAAAGATTTTAAAAGGAACTTAGGCATCTATATGGATGAGGAATATTCAGTTAGGTAAGACCAAACTTGTGCTACTGGCCCTGATTCCACAAGTGAATCGCGACAAAATGAATCCAATTACCTGCCGTACACATGACAGCTGCCTTAAAACGTTATTCCACTTTTAACCGAAAAAGAAGAGGATCACAGAGTTCAAAAGGCTTACTTTGTTTCTGATCAAAAGGGGAAAATATGATGGCGAATCTCTCGGAATAAGTTAAGAGGCCAAATGAAGAAAATTAATTACGCAGAGAAGGTTGCTCCCGTCCAACCCTTGTCACTGATTCTATTTCTAGCTAAGTCGGGCGCGAAACGGAAAGTAAAAAGCTGGAAGGCTTTGTTAATTAGAACGTTGAACACGAATGTCTTCATATATATGGTAGCATCTGCGACCAAACATTAATTTCGTATTCTTTTATGTATTTGGAGATTGCCACGTGTAATCATTATTTTCTAAACCGACTAACCTCTCTGGCGAGGACTTGGTTTCTTTTAGATTGCTGAAGTTGATGATGATGAATCCTCTCAGCATCATCCATGCTATTTACTGGATATACATAGCTAACGAACACTGGAACCTTTGTCGATACACAAGGGACGCCACCTACGTAACCATCTACGCATTTTGTGGGGTATCTTTAGGGACAATGACGGCCATAACTATTGACAGACTTCTTGCGCTGTTGTTGGGGCTGAGGTACAAACAAACTGTAACTTTGAAGTGCACAAGTATTATTTTAGCTGCCGTTTGGGTTTTATGTGATGTGGCTGCTCAGGACAGTAAAACGCTTGTCTTATTATTTGCTTTACTGCTTGTCTCACTTCATTAATCTTCCAACAGTAAAGAATTGGATTTAACGATGAGTTGAAGAACACAAGAGTTCCTGTTGCCACCCAATCAAGGAGATACGATGAAGAAGGTGCTTTATTAGTAACCACAGAGATCTCCACCACAGCAAATGGTGAATAACAAACAAGTAACACCAGCTGCACTAACAAAGCACCGTTCACGGCTTTTCTGTATCGCACAATATTCAGCGGGTTCGTTTGGCTATTTCGGTGTTGGACAAGATCTTGTACTTCGTTGCTACGATGTCTGAGCGCCCAGAAAATTCTTGTATACGACACAAACGAAACAATTACGCATAATGGTATCACTATACAACCATAAGAAATTGTTATGCGAAAATCTACCGGGTAAAGGGCAGCAACGAAAGTAGACTTGATCCAAGTGATGGCCACAACTATATAGGTACGCTTCAAAGTTACAATTAGTCTGTATCTAAGAAAAACATTTTGGAGGAAATAACTGTATACTCTAATCTCGACTATCACAATCCATAACCTCAGAAAACTTACAATTGCTTAAAACTTCCTGAAGACCATTCTATTTAGCTTTTGGTGGATCAATTTTGATATTTACCATTTCCATTCTCCACTTAGCTCGCCTTTCCTATGTTAGCTCTGTGGGTACTTTTGACTGTGCAGTGGTTGAAGATGAATCCTACTAAGAGACATCTTTCAGGTAAAGAATGTCCTTGGTTAAGACTGCAATCCTTCTGAAAGCAGGAGAACAGTGCAGTTTTAATTATTTGTCAGAATAGGGAAATAAAAAAAAGAAGTTCCATTTTTGGTGCCTCTCTTTTTTAGTTTCACGTGTTGCTTCATATTGAGTTATGCAATAGGGCAGGCAAACCCACAGGCTAAATCCACAAATTTTATGCATAGCCCGTTATTGATGTCAGGTCTGATGAAAACTTTACTTAAAACCTTTACACCCTAACACCAGTGAGCATATTCTCCATGCTGTTCGCTGTACATTTCCTAAGATGCTGACAAGAAGAATTTGTTTAACAATCAAGAGCTTCTTTAGTTGGTGATCATTCCCTTTATTCTTGTGACCTTAGTGTGTGATTCATGGGTGATATTGTAAGGAGAAATTAGGTGTTAGTCTTCAGTTCGAAATTATCCGTGCAAAGAAGAGGCAAGTTTGGATCGAAGTGCGAAAGCTACGTGACATTCGGAATCGCTTCAAATTCTTATAAAACAACTGATGATTTCAGGGATTTTTAAAGAACCTTTCCATGAAAATTAAATTTCTGGCTGCATGGCATTTAACTTCATTTAGGATGGCGTTTAAGTTCATCTAGGGCCGCGCTCGTCTACAGGTTATTGAGATAAATGTCTTAGAACCTTCATTTATCCACCTCATCAAAGATTCAACCCATCCTTGACATAGCTTTCGTGAACTTGTTACGGGGTCGAATTGGTCTCATATTATATTTTTATTGTCTGTTTATCTCTTGCTTATATTGGTGTAGAAGACACAGATGATTTAAAACAACAGGGAACAATTCCCCTTTTCGAAATTTTCGTTTATTAAGGGCCAAAATTCTTATCACAAGAACAATTTGATTGCGATTCTTTCAAGAAGAATCAAGCTCCTCGCGACGAGATTGAATAGCTAGAGGAGAATTCTGGTAAGAATGCTTTCCATCTGAATATCTTGAGACGAATCTCTATTTCAGAAACTCTTGCCACTAGATCGAGAATTCTTTTCATCAGACAATGAAGTATTATAGTTATCCTGGAAAGAATGTTTAATTGAAAATATTATGCAGGGAATTCATAAGAGAAGAAGCAGAAACCTTTTCGAGATTTATTCGAAATCGACCTTTTCTTATAGCTAGACTTTTGTTAAGTAAACTTTCACAGCCAGTAGCTTTGATTTATACACCTAAAGAGCTGATGTAGTCTATTCAGCCTTGCTACTTTACGGTAGTGGAGTACTGGCGTACATAAACGATTCCTCAGGAAGACGAAGAGCGATATCATTGCGGCGATAATTCACATTAACATTTCGGTTGAAAATTCGCATCACCAAAATTACTAACTTCGGTAGCGAATGACTCATCTGAGGATTTGAGCTGTTCCCAAATAGTCCTTAAGTATGCGGTAGACCTTAAAGGATCAAGGATCAACAGTTTTAGTTGTCAATGCCAAAATGTAAGTCATCCAAAAAATATGAGAGGGAAGTCCACATCACAAGGTATTGAATTTGATTCAATTTAAGTGATTGTGAGATTGTCAACGGTCAAGCCTGTTTATGTATAATTTGACAAATAAATTAGCTTCATAAAAGTTAATTTTTACCATCTAGTTCCAAATTGTTTAAGTATACTGCTTGGTTAATTAATAAACAGGCTTGCACTTATCAAATTTTACTGGAATGTTGGGAGTTTGTAGAAGTTTTAGTCATGATTTGCTAAATCAAACTGCACTGACTATGGCACAGTATGATTCAATGTAATCACAGAGCTACATAAATACCGAATGCACAGGTTGATTTATAAGCCAAAATAAAATTGTTATGAAGAGTGATTTTAACCCTGGACTGCTAGTTTGATTTAATATATCAGGGTTTTAGGCTAGTTAAATAGGTTTGTTAATACCCAACTTGTCATACAGAGAGATTCAATGATTGACCATGTTTAACCATGGTCAGTTTTAGTTCAAATTTTGGTTGACAATGAACTGTCATGCTTCCATTGAGTAACTTGACTGTAGTTGACCATGGTCTATCACAATCTATCATGGTCCAGTTTGTTTCACTGCCAAGGCCAACCATGTTTGATTAAATCTTTTTTATTTCACTAATTTTATAGTTGTCCATGGTAAAACATGTACTGGCAAGTCATATTGGCCATCAGTCATATTGGCCATCAGTTATGACCATGTTTGACTAGTGATATTAAGCCTGTAAACATACTCTATTGTTTTACTATAAGCGATAAAAAGATGGTATCATATAAAATGAGTACTCCTGTTACATTTTAGGAATGTTCAGGTTGCTACCAGGCAGGTAAATGTAGGAACAAGTTCTGAAGTGATGGATCCTAAAGGCAGCAATGATTGTGGTGTTTTACAATGGGCTGAAGGGGGGATCAAGAAACACCTTCCTCTGAAAATTTAGAATATTAAAACACGTCCTTATAGAGTTCGGCTAGATGCAGAGCATTGCTTTATAACTTGGCCCTGCATGTATTTTAGTAATAGTTTCTGTTTTCTTTTCTCGCAGGGCTTCTTGTTATAAACACAGTCATTTTACTAATTGGAATATAGTCATGCAGTTGTTACTAGACTGATTTAGCATGAAGACGCGGCCTTCGTTTAGGACGTCGAGCTCGGTATAAGGGCTTGGTACCGAGTGAAATTCCCGCGTCCTGAGGTTCTGGCGTCGCGTTGTGGACGTGAAACCAAGCAGTTTGCCGTCTTGTCGAGAATGTAAACTTCAACTCGCCTCAACGATGGAAATTGCACCGAAAAAGTAAGTAAATTAATTGATTTGTATGGCAAACAAAATTGAAGTCTCTTAAGTATTAATTCGTCCCTTTTTGCTAGAGTTGTGATGAGCTGGACGGAAGAAAAGGATATTTTACTCATGAGAGAAATGGCCGCTCAAGGGATTTTTCAATTCAAGTCTGGAAGCCGTGAAAGAGGCACTGTTTGGCAAGCTATCGCCAAAAATCTGAATGGTCACAAAGATGTCTTTCATTCTGTCACTTCGAGAGGTGTTAGAGACAGATTTACTCTGATTTTAAGAAGGTATAAGGCGAAAAATGCCGAAGAACTTAAAAGTACCGGCGAAGGTAGCGAAGACGAACTAAGCGAATACGATTTACTACTGGAAGAGTTAACTCACTTAAGTGAAGAGTCCGACAAGAAAGCTAATGCAGAAGCCGAAAGTGCCAAAGAAAAAATCAGTGCAGAAAAGGAATTGGCTCTTGATATAAGGAAAAGAGCAATGGAAACAATGGGCCAAACTTCAAAAAGAACAAAATCTGATGAGCTCCAGGACGACGAGATCAAGGAAAGAAAGAAACGAAGAACTGGAGGGGACACCTTGGCGTGGCTGGAAAAAAAAGCGGACCGAGATTTGAAGTACAAAGAGCTCCAGCTTGAAGAGCAAAGAAAAGAAAGAGAGTTCCAGCAAAGAGAAAGGAAAGAGCAGATGGAGCTTATACAGAAGTAACTTCAAATGCAAGGAGAAAGCCAAAAGCAACAGCAACAACAACAAATGATGCTCATGCAGCAGATGATGAGTATTATGCAACAGCAGCAACAACAGCTTCAGCTTTTCACTTCAAAACAGGATAAAGACTAAACTTCAATTTACTTTTGCTTATGCATTGTTAAAAATAAAGTTTGAAATTATGTTTGCACTATGGTTAGTACCATTATAACAAAATTTTATCTTTTGTTTTTGAGAGAAGGTACAACATTGTTTACTCTTCGAAAATGTTGTTTACTGTTTGAGAGCTCGTTTTAGTCATAAAATGGGGTGAAATAATCCTCTTGAAGGAGTGTTACTTTTGATTTAACTCTCATCATTTAGTTGAAATTACCTTTTCTCGTCATTTATAGTTGTTACTTGGTTATGCATAATTTAATGTGACCATAATTATAGGCCCTTAAATTTTGGCTTCCAATTTTCATATTTCAAAACATTATACAGCTGGTACTGAAAAGGAATCAGTTAATGGAGATGTTTTAGTAATAAAAGTTTGATATGTGGATTGTGTGCTGTTGTATTTTCAAAGAAAAATTAAAACATGCATGTATTTTTTCTAGTCAGTTTACCTATAGTGAGTGACACAGTTAGTCCAATCTTACCATTTATTTAATGCAGAAGTCAAGAGATTTTACGTTTAACGCTAGTCATGTTCGTCTTGGACGTAAATGCTAAAGGTGAGCTTGTGCTATGTTAGTGATGTTATTAAAAGTCCTCTGGTAAAATTGGTACATATGAATATTTTCTTTCCTACCCCTAACAATATTAAAGTTAAAACCTAAATAATCTTCAGTACAAAAGACATTTTTGCCAGCAACGTTAAGGCTTACTTTTGAACCCTATAGGGTGTTTTATCATTGAATGCATCAATTAAAGAATACAATGACAATGATATTTAATTATTTTTATTCCACATTGCTTGAATACTATATTGCACAAAATGGTGTGGAAAGCTAAGACTATTTCTCACAATGTATATATAAAACAATTTAAACAACAATGATTACACTTTTCACTACTTAAAAAGGCCTGGCTATCAGCAGTGTCTTAGTGTATCTTTACATCCAAACACAGTTATCTATAATGAAAATAACCTTTGAACAAAATTAACCATCAGAAATATCGTAAACAACACTCGTGTATATTTTACCAGAAATAAGTTAGAAGGTCTGGGGAGTCAACACCAAAATAATTCGAAATGATGTTCCCATATAGGCATGTGTGGGCATTTTGAAGAATTCCACAAACCAGGTACATTTTGCCAACAGGGCTAAGGCCAATCTTTAGCTGGTTTTGGAACTCAACAAACTTGTAGTAATTTGAAATGCAGCCAAACATCCATTCTACAGCTACTCTGACTTCACTCATATGATCATTGAATCTTGCCATCTGTGGGGTGAGGGGAACATTTCTAAATGGAGCTTGTAAATGTATGCCTAAAGGATATGCTGGGTCGCCGTACAAACATAACGGCCTCCCATCATTTGCCCATGCAACTACTTGGAGATCCCTTAGTAAGCCTGATTCACAGAGCATCGTGGCATCGTGCCTTCGCCCCTCATAGGGTCCATTTAGGTTGGCTATGAGCCCATTTGGAAGAACAACATTCTGAAATTTTAATGCATGCGCACGTTTGTGTCCATTGTAAACTTCACGCTGATTATTCTTTGAGCGAGATATCTTGCACAAGGTCCCGTCCACAAAGCCAAAACAGTTTTGAAGAGGAGCTCCACAGGCATGAATGCTTTGAGCATATTGTTCTAGAGCTGGTGTATTAAGAAAAGGTTGGTTCCAAGAATTTAAACGATGTTGGTGTGTCTGGTAAACAAAGTCTAAAACGTGATTGAAGATCAAACAAAGTTCAGTTGGATTCCTGCCAAAACGCATCACCATATCAGTAAATCTACAAGGAAAAGCAAGTCGTTTTAACAAGATGCAAAGGCCTTCCATTCCGGAACAGACAGTCCTCTGAGAACAAACAAATCTATCGGGAAATCTCAATGCATGGAGCAGGACAGCAAGGTCAGATTTGTCGAATCTCAACTCGACTTTACATTCCTCTTCATCCCAATCATCCAAATCGAATTTGTCATACATCGAATATGGAAATATTCCTCTTGAATAGTTTTCTTCGTAAAGAAGTGTAAATTCCTCATCATCAATGACATCGTCGAAACAAGACACCAGCAAAACGTCTCGAACACTTTGGAGGCCATAGCCTGCCGCCATGTTTACAAGTGCGCGTACGCGTCTCGTTTGTATTTGGCGCTAAAGCCAAAGTATGACGCAACGTCAGTTCCAGTACTCCCGTCCCCGATCACGGTCAAGCAGCCGCGTCTTCAGGTATCATGTCCTGTTGCTAAATCAGTCTACTGACACCCTCAGCACCCCAGTTAGTTTGCTTAGGTAGAAAGAGAAATTGTGAAGGTCAAATGTCTTGCCAAAAGAAAGTGCACGGCAGAATGTGTTTTTGTATCAAAACCACTCTTTCAGCACATAACCATCATCTGGCTCACATAGCTGGTTTCTGTTTTTTCCCTTTTATTGGTCAAGCAAAGAAAGTCATGGTTTTGTTACTTAAATATATGTGAATATGTAAGTATCGTCTCAGTAATGAATGTATATATAATAAGCAGTGGGGAAAATAGGACCTGAAAGAAATTCAGGCCTGTCTGCAAGTTGAACACATGACCTCTGCAATACCATGCAGTGCCCTGCCAGCTGAGCTAACAAGCCAGCAGGGAGTTGGTCATTGTGTTGGTTTCTAATGAACCTGTGGAGTGATGAACAAATGACTGTGAATATAGGAAATCATTTATGTGAACTGCAAATTGATAAATGAATATAAAAGTTATCTTCATTAATATATCAAGATCACTTGCATATTCATTTATTAGTCCACAGTTCAAATATATGATTGTAATGTATTCACAGTCACTTAACTGTACATGTTTCATATAAGAAGTGGAATTTCTGTAGAAGATAATTTTTTCATGGTGATTCCCTTTTTTGCCTACAGCCTCTATCGTCACAACCTTGTCGCTTATTGGAATAGGCATGCATTTGCAAATAACTGATCTAGTACCAGTATTGAACAATGCTCTTTTAGGTAAGACCATGAAGAATTATGTGACCAAATATAAAAAATGTGAATTAGGACCTAGCATTAAGAAGAAGCTTGTGATACAGTCAACCATGATGCATCATATTTTGATCAACCCTATCTCCTATAGTTCAATGAAGGACACTCAGGTACAAATCACAGAGTAAGGAAACATGTGGAGAGAGAAGTTAGGAAACAATCGCAGCAAAACTGACATGAATGTTTTTCAAATTTGTGCTACACTACTTTATGATGTTATTAAAAGATGTGATTGAAAAGAAAGCAACAAAAACAGAACTTTGGTGTCTTGCCCCAAAAAAAGATGAAGGAAGGAATAATCTGTTACAGGAAATATAAATTTTTTTCCAAAGCTATCATCATCCTCTGCTCACTGACTCGATATGATTATTCTTGTCATCATTATTAGTAGACTTGACTCCCAGTGATATGAAAGTTCATGATAAATTATGAACCCTATAACTGGCTTACTGTAATTTGCAAAACAAATCGAAAGAAAATGAAAATCTGTAATTTGTGAAATGGAAATATGCTAATGATTTGCAAAATAATTATAGGACGATAATATAAGGCATATATGTATCATTCTTTTGTATGGCAAAGCTGACAAGTTGCACTATCTAGAATGTTAACTCACATTCGGTAAAGTTAGGAATTTTTATTTCAACCAATGGATAATGCACAAATGATTAAATTCTTGAATGATGTTCATACATTATATTAAAGTTCACACGGCAACCAGGTGGACAATCTATAATTCTAAAATTATCACCACTTATCAGCGTTACCACCAGCGCCTTTGTTTGGAGGCTTGGAATATTAACTTCGCCCACGCTCCTTTAAATCGTGACGATGGCGGTTTGCTTCCTGACACCTATTTACACCTCGTCAGAAAAAAAGCCGCTAATTAGTGATCATATAAAAGGACCTCTTGTTGCAGCGGTTAGATCACCCCTGATGAAGGCACTAGACAGGAGTGTCGAAACGTTGGGTCTATGAATTGTAACTTCTTCGGTTACATTCATTAAATCTGCAAACCAGAGTAGTATCAAACTATGTCTGATATTCATACATGTTTGTTTCCCTGACTGTTTTCATCAATATCATTCTGATGGCATGTTTGCGGCAGAGAAAAATTTACCCCAATCCAGTCGCGGTATATTTTTGTTAGGTTTCAATTTCCCAAGGGCAAAAGACCACACTAACCTTTGTCACTGGTGTCTAGGTTAAAAAACAAAACAAAACAAACAAACCTCTAATATCATTCCTGCAGAAGGTTTTAGAATGAAGTTCAGATCATAAACATGGGTGAGACTCAAGAAAATAAAAGAGCTTGGGTCAGTTACATTTTCCTAGCAAACATGATATTTTATCTGTAAACATGCTACGACACTTTCCATGTGCATTTCTGGTCAGCTAGGTGTCGTGTCACGCATTCAAATTATTCATAGGCAATGTACATTCATTACACCTTATAGACAGTACAGCTACAGCATCAACTAACATTTCAAATTACTGTTATGCACGATGGTCTAAACTACCTATTGAGTTGTTCACGAACATGGTGGAGATTTCCTGAAGTTCATGCAGATTTTTTTATTTCTCACTTTTGCTAGTTGCTATTATTATTATTATTTGGCAGGCTGCAATCCACACTTATGGTGAACTGACCAATTCATGCTTCTGGCTTGTGGGCTTTTCTACAGGGATTCTCGTTTCACAAATCAAAAATTTCCATCTCACAAATTACAGATTTCTATTTTGCAAGCCATTAACATATTTCCATTTCAAAAATTACAGATCTCTATTTTGCAAATTATTAGCATATTTCCATGTCACAAATTACAGATTTTCATTTTGTTTTGTTTTGAAAATTACATTAAGCCCTTTAACTCCCAAGATCTCATCAGTACATGTAATTCTCGCAACTGTCTGCAATACAGTTCTTGTGATGTTAGTTGGGAGAATTTGGTGTTAGATCAACCTATAATCCTTTTACTGATATTTTTCTCAATTCCCATCACTTGTGTGTTTGATGTTGTATTAAAATTCTGTTGTGGACATTTGTGGGAGTTAAAGGGTTTAAGGTTGGAGTTATTAGAAGTATGAGTTATGGTGTGTTCAGGAAAAACAACCAGAAAAAATGAAAAAAATTCTTTTTTATCCATATTTTTGCTTACATTTTAATAGAATCACATTCAATTACCATTCAGACAAAGGAAAAGATGCTACCCTCCAAAATAATTCTTACTAATAACCAATCTTTGTTTCACTGACTTCTATCTCAGAAACCACAAGTCCACAGCATGGAAATATCTCTAAAAAAAATACCTCATCTATCACTGTAACAAAATGCAAACCTCTCAAGTTAGGTTATATGCTGTACATATGTCTACTTGTTTGCTCAGAAAACACAAATGGTTAACATGTATGCGCAATACATTTTTTGTATTGTGACCTTTCAGATGGGAGATCAGGATCTGCATGCAAACTGCAAAGTTACTAACCATCATTACTGCATGCAGTTACTATTTCCCACACCCCATTGGCTTATTTTCCTCAACACAATCACCATCCAGAAATATTTGTGGTGCTCATGGTTGAACAGTATAGTAAAGATTTAAAATATAAAATTAATATTTACATTTCTATTTTGTTGTTTACTTGTTAAATACAACATATTGCTGTGAATAGCTAATGACCATAATTAAAAATTGCCTAGCTTCGAATAAGCACCCATCCCCCCTGCCAAAGAGAAAACTGAAGTGCACAAGGAGATTATTGATTGATATTTCTTTACAGCCTTAAAATCTGTAATTTCATTCTCTATCATGGTAAATCTTTGCCTTTTCTTATTATTTAATGTTTTGCTGTGAAATAAACTAGCTTCTTGCAGAAAACGGTGAAAGTTTATTAAGGGCTGAGCCTCAAATAAGTAGCCAATCTCAAGGTCCAAAAATTTAACTAGGGCTCAGGGTGCTTCATAAATATGTTAGTACATTTTCTTAAAGGTCTTGTTATTTCCTTTTTTCGCTTTTATTTCTAAATATACAAAACATAAACAGTTTCAAGTACTATCATAAACTGAACTCTGAATCGTCAGAACTCTCAAAGAAACTTGGTTCAACTGAAACTTCATAAAAAACATGAGGTATCTCCACAGTTCAGCTATTCATAGGGAGTTATTACTTTTTTTAGGTATCTTAGACCTTCAGAATATATTGTTGGTAATAGTAAAAAATTGTTTTCCAACTTTCTGGTAACATGATTGTTTGAGGAATTGTTCCTTAGGAAATTGTTTTCCTAGCTGGGTTTGTTAATTGATTTGAAGGTAGTGGCTTCCAACACAACCTCGCCTGGAAACTAATTTTTTTGTAGACCTGACAAAAGTGGCCAGGAACAAATTCTTAAATTTTATGGACGCCCAGGATAGTTGAAGGAGCCAAAGTGTGATGATACACATCACCCAGAGATCTGTTCATACCAGTTAACCAAGTTAATGGAACATAATGTGTCTTGTGATGTGAAGGTATGTGGGTCTTCAGAGATTCAAATGGCTTCTGTGAATCCACAAATGGGAATAGCTGTTGATGACTGGGAAACAATACCAAAGAGAAAAGTCACTTTTAAAGTACAGGAGACAGTGAAAACAAACCTGGAAAGAGGATTTCATTTCTTGTTCCTTAGATGTGGACGTATTTTTCAAGCCTTGAGTTTTCCTCCTATCTTCCAGAAAAATGAAAATGATGAAGATATAGGGGCTGTTAATGTAAATTGTAAATGTTAATGGACTCTATCTCAAGACCACACTTCTATCGAACTATGCGAAAAGCCACAGAGGCTTTGAAGAAGATTAGTGAAGATTCTACAATCAAGACCATGTTCCTGGACTTTGAACTTGTTCAAAGCATTGGTCAACAGACTTTTGAAAACTTAAGATCATTCTTTTGTGGTGTTCTGAAAGGTGCGTTGACAAATTTATTTTCATTTGTTGTAAACTCATTCATAATTGTACAGTGCATCTAAATGTTTTCAGGGTTACCTTTAGCCACAAGCAAAAAGGACCTAGAAATGGGATCAAATGCGTGGTGACCACAAGGTCATTGTTCAATGAGTGGCAAAAGTAGTTGTCAACCCTCCCCTTAGTATGTGGTTGGCACCCCTCCCCTTAGTATGAGGTTGACAACCCTCTATTTAAAATAATGAACAGAAATACTGTATTTCCTGCCAAACAAGTTTCTTGAAAGTCTCCCCTCCCCCTCTAAACAGTGTTGCTTGATGGTTTCCATTTTTTAACATGAACACCAGCCCCAGACAACATTGAAATGGGAGAGGGGGAGATACAGGAGATACATGTAAATGAGTTACAGAAAGAATTCAAATTGTATTAGAGTGTGCCAAGACTTTAGCCACTCATTGTAGGGACAGTAAAATGAGACTACAGCAGAATTTCATCATGGGTAACAATTTAATCCTTGTGAAAAGACACTAGTTGTTGATCGATCATGAAGCTTTATTGACTAGGAGAGGTAGATTTTTTTTTTTCAGGACCAACTAAGAATCTCTCTTAGGGCCTTCCCCTTTACTCTCAGACTACTTGATCAACTGTTACTCCTGGGCACAAACCATTTGATTTCAACAGTAATTGCAAATTAATTAGACTCAATTTTGGTAAATCAAAATTCTTGTTAAAGAAGGCACCTGAACAGAAACTTTTATTGATTAGTACCACACATGTTTATTGTATTGTTACTTGTCTGAAACCTGATTGAAGCTGGTCAAGGATGAATACAAATTGCTTTTATTTGACCTTTTCACTCCTAAGATCTCATAAATAACTCTCCTCACTATCTGCGATACAGTTCTTGTGATGTTAGTTCAGTGAATTTGGTACTGGATCAATTAACAATCCCTTAATTGACTGATATTTTTCTTTATTCTCATTACTTGATACTATATTGATATTCTGAAGAGAAATTCTGTCTTGGTCCCTCATGAGAGTTAAAGGGTTAACACCTCTCATACCACTACTACTCTACTACTACCATTTCTACTACTTCTTCCTCTACTACGACTACTAAATTGTATTGTAAACTTATTAGATGACAATGAAGTAAGTGTATCTAGAAAGAATACAAAGGCTCCTTTGGGTGTGGAGGTGCTATATGGAGCCTTCAAAAAGTGGGGCTACCAGACGTTATTTCAAGAGGACCTTTGTTGGTATGATATATGGGGGAGTGTGTTAACAGATATTGAAAGGAGAGCAATGCCTAGAACAAATTCTGAATACCAAACGAGGTGATTTATTTGTAAAATCATTGGTTTAGTCTAACCAGCCAAGTGGCTCAAGCTGCAGAAGCTGTTCACTGTGTCCTTATCAAGAAGCATCACAGAGTTAATTGCCTCCCTTTTTGAGTAGGTCCCGGCCCATTATAGTTCAGCCCCGCTCGTTTCCTTCACAGTTTTCTTGTTACGTATTTAAATTACATGAAGGAGAAACACAATATGACTGTAAAGTATTTTGCCCAAAATCACAAGATCCCCATACCCCAGATAAGGAGATTAGGGCTAACCCAAGTTTAAATTTCAATCTGGGTAGCTTTTTTCCTTTGTTCGAGAGCCTTTTGGGAATAACTTCCTCTATTCTTTTTAGAGCATTTAATTATAAATTTGTAGACGAAAAGAATTATACTGAGTTTTCTTTTAAAGCTTTCAGATGTGAAATTATGTCACACACTAACCCTGGGTATATTAACTTGGCTTTGAACAACCCAGCCTTGCTGAAATTTCAATATCGAATCTAATGAGCAACAAACAAGAACTCCACCATAAGTATACTGAATGAGATAAATTTTGGCATGCAAAATCCTTAAAATAATGTAGAGGAGAGCAAAGTTGGTGAAAATTTGTGTATTGACTCTAACTTCACACTTTGTTTTGTTAATGCTGCGTTGTAGTTGATGTGAGGTAATAAAGTGTGAACTATTTTAAATCAGGTGGAAAGAATTTCAGGAAAAGAGGGAACAAAAGATGGTGGACCTTCTGGGGATCACACATTTTTCCTGCACTGTGTTGAACAGAATTGGAAGGACCAATCACTACGACAGTCCTCAGAAAATTTGTTTTAATTGACAGTTTTACAGTTGGTACTTCTTCGACTACATAACAAAGGTGTATACTGCGTTAGAAAACAACAGAAAAGCCAAACCATTGGTGTCGTACATGCATTTCAACACGGGACATGAGATGACAGGGAAGCGGATGATCAACATGGATGTCGGCATAGCGAAGTTTTTCACAGATATGGCCTTGTTTCCAAACACTTTGACTCTGATTTTTTCGGACCATGGTCACAAAATGACTCCATTCAGTTGCACTGAAAAGGGAAGGAGAGAGTTATTTGATCCAGCGTTCTTCATGATTGTCCCAGATGATGTTAAGGAAAAACTAGGACCCGAAAGGATGGGAGCCTTGATAACAAACCAAAAGCGCATATTTATGTTGTATGATGTTCACAAAGCACTCATGAGTTTGCACGATTCTCAGAGAAAGGACTCTAAGGATAATTTAGTTTCAGGAATATTTTCAGAAATCCTAGCCAATCGCAATTGTGCAGACTTGTACATGCTCCCCTTAACAAGATGCTAATAGGAAGGTTTTGATGAAGCAATTCCTGTAAAGAATAATGCAGACGATCACAACTGGTTGGCAGAATTTGCTGTGGGATATATTAATGATGCTATTCAAAAGCAACACATGGACAGTAAGATGTGTTGTGCAATTTTTTTTCTCTTTTCTCTGCAGCTAATGGGTTATGAAAGTAACATGCTGCTGCTGAAACAAATTGTCAGTCAAGCTACAATGCATTTTGATCAAATTGAAGGAAATGAAAGAGATGGGTGGGGTGTAATGAAGGAATGGAGAGAGTGGGGCTGTGTGTTAAGATAGTTGTGTTGGGGTGGGGTTTGGTGTCGTTAGACTGGTAGGGTGGGTACGATTAGTTAAGATGAGGGTGGGGAGGTAAGGTTGAGGTTGGTTAGTGAGATGTGATGGAGTTAGACTGGCTGAAGTTTGGTCAAATAAAGTGAGGTTAGGTTGGGTGAGGTAAGATTGGAATAGCTAAGATGGGTGGAAGATCAATGTAGTAACCGGACGAGAGCCGTAGTTAGATTGAATGATGTGAAGTTATTTGAGTAAAAAGTAGGTGAGGTGAGAGTGGTTGAAGTGAGCTGAGGTGAGGTTTTCTGAGATGTAATAAGGTGAACCGAGAAGGGGTATAGGGAATTGTAGTGAGTTAAAATGCCTGATTCAAGAAACAAATTGCAATTTGGTTTGATTTTCATTTATTTTTCACTCTCGTCAGGAAGTGGTGACTCAAAGTATGGCTATGGAAACTGTCAGCGCTTGGTTGGAAAACCATTTGAAAAAGTTGTCAAACGATTTCGAGGAGAATACATCTTGACCACGATGGACATTCACATGTTCCTTCCAGCCGGATTCACAGATGATGAAGTTTATCGAGTCTCTGTGAAACAGTTTGCCAAACCAAAGCAAGGAGTATTTTTCCTTAGTTCTATCCGGCAAACGATGTACAACAAGTTTGCCTCGTGTGCAGATACGTCCGTGGATATCAAGCTCTGTGCATGCACCGTAGAGCAAAACGCTGATGACCCTAGAAAGATGTGTTGTTTGGCAATGGAGTTCCACGCAAAATGTTTGGTTCGGACACAATTGTGAAAGACTTGGATTCAAACTGTCTGTTATTCTTGCAACGGAATTTTGGGACCTTTTCATCTGGGTTAGAAGTTGCAAATGTTTGCACAAGTCGAACTTATAAATTTGAACTAACAGGCTCTATGGATCAAAGGATATTCTTTAGGACTTTGCCTATCAGACGAGAGCTACTCCCAAAGTCATTTCATTTTTTGACATCTATGTATAAGTACATATCAGCAAGCAAGTGTGAAGGTTAAGAAGGATGGATCAAACACTTTCAACAATTTAGGGATCTTTAGTGTGTCATGACAGATACAAGGGTGCTGCGTAGTTCGTGGTTTATTCAGAATGATGTATTAATTTATTTTGGATTTGTATAGAGAAGGCCTACTCTGGTACCTTAAGCAGCCTTAAGTCGCCTCAAGTTCTTACTCCTGATGAATACCCGAACGCTTAAAAAAATTTGGAAAAGAGAATCCAGAAAGCTGACAAGGCGGAAGAAGATGAGGTGTTGAGGGTTTTACTGCAATGAACGTCTCTTTGTGTTGACTGAATCTAAGGACGGATAATAAGAAATTGAGGAGGATTTGGGGATGAACAAGTGGTGAAGCAATACATTTAATACATCTGAGTGAAAGAATAAAATTGTAATGTTGATATTCTCTTGCTTTCTCCCAAGTAGAAACCACCAGAAAAGGCTTCCGTCATTGCCTTTGGCGAATTTCTGCATTCAAAGGCGCAAAATCCACTTGTAGATTGCACTTAATAAATGTGAAATCTTAGTCAAAGAAGACAATTGTAATGTTAATATTCTCTTGCCTTCTCCCAAGCAGAAACCACCAGAAAAAGGCTTCCGACATTGCCTTTGAATAATTGCTGCGTTCATAGGCGCACAATCTACTCGGTTGAATAGTTATTTGCAGATTTGCAAACAGACAATGTGAAGCAATGCGCTTAATAGATGTCACGTTATCTGAGTGAAATAATACAATTATAATTTTAATATTCTCTTGCTTTGTCCCAAGCAGAAACCACCAGACAGGGCTCCCGAAATTGCCTTTGGCGAATTCCTGCGTTCAAACAGTATTTTCTTAGAATTGGTGTGTGGGTTCATCTTCATACTAGGTCACTTCGTGTGCCTTGACAGAGAATAACTTATTTATTGTATGTAAACTCGCAGAAAGAAATAATTACAAGGAACAAACAAGCACAGCTCTGCAGTTCTAGATTTTTTTAACTATATAGAAAGGTAAGACACTACTGGTTTGTACTTAGACATATTGTCGTCAACGTTTGAATAACTGAACTTTATTTGGAGCAAGGCTGATCGAAATAACTCCCAACTTGTTCCAACCGGGCTGCAAAAACGAAGTATGCTTAGATTTCGCTTTTCAAGAACTAAAAGTTTATGTATGACAAGACGCACTGACTTTGAACTAGTTCTGTTGAATTAAGTGCCCTTAAGTGCCACTCTCGTTGAGAGCGGTCTTCTCAACTTCCGGCCACCGTCGGAAACAAGGTTAATTTTTTTGCCCACGAAAAGGAGTTAGGACACATGTTTCAAAGATAGTTTAGTTGTTCTCCAATTCTCTCTTCTTTGGCGTCGCCATAAGCCAAGAATAATTTTTGGCTAGACAACCCTTGTGGACAGCGATCGAAAGAGTAAATTTCACAGATTTTGTCCAGCACGCAGCGACTGCAATAATATGGCTCACGGAATTCTATCTTGCTAGAAGTTACAAGATGTATTCAGTTATTTCACTGACAAAATATGGAAACTTCACCTGAAGTATTTTTGATAACAGCGTAATCAGAGGAGACCCTTCTCTTCGACCTTAATTTGCATAGAAAAAATTCACCAATTTGCACGAAAGAATTCTCAAAATTCAAGCATTAATTGGGCTAAAAAAAGCATATCAGTGCATAGCTTACGTAAACGTGATCGGTCGTCACACTTGCGCGCTTGCGTGACTTAAAAGTAAACAAAGTCGATAATTTTCGTTCAAATATCAGGTCATGAACTACGCACAGTGCGTTAGTTAGATAACGGCGTAATGTGTGACTAACACAGTCTACAGACTGTACGATTTTACGCCACTACCTGCGTCGGTGCACATACTGTCAGATTTTAAACCGTTAACTAACGGCCTGAAACCTCGCAGTATGAATATATACCAACTGGAAGAATTAACGCCGTTAGTTACTAGCGTAAAATCTTACATATATACACCACTGACTGGAAGAAATGACGCCGTTAGTTACAGGCGTAAAATCTTACATTTATACTTCACCGACTGAATAAAATTACGTCGTTAATTACTGGCGTAAAATCTTACAGTATGTTAATAGCGGGAGTGTTTCTTCTTTTTTCTATTATGTTTTAACTTTAGTAAGTGGCGCGACAAATTTTCAGTCAAGCTTGAAAAGTGTTAGCTATTTTACGGAGGGTCTGGATGAGGGGCTACAAATGTCAGTTGTCAGTTAAAATGTCGGCCATTTATCAGTTCTCAGTTAGATTTTAGGCCATTTGTTAGTTGTCAGTTAAATGAATGTGAATAATTAACTTGGTGAGTTACTTATTACTTTCCGACCCTATTTTTGGCTAAAAAGGCAAATATATCGTAAACTCGAAAATTAAGTCCAAAAGTTTCAAGTGTTGAAGTTAAAAAATTATTCGATAATTTGAGAGACCTTTCTTCTTGTTTTCGGCTTGTAGTTGTTTAATAGCAGGCGAAACACCTGTATCGTCAGCGCATCCGCTGCTTCACCATCATTGTGTGATAAGGATACTAGTTTACAACACGTTCCAAAAGGACTAAACGCTATCAAGGTACAGCTTGGCCCTTACCATTTAGCTTAACAGATCGCCGTGATAAAGTATAACTTTATTGAACTATAACTGTACCTCGCCAAATAACTTTGGCTCAGCATTTTCCTCATTTTTTTTTTCTTCAGTCAGTTTTAACCTCAGGTACTTTTTTTGACTGGCCATTACTAATTAAGACAGGCAAAGAGATGATATGTTTTATGCTCGAGGAAACTGTTTTCACTTAATTTGTTTTACATGTAGTCTCTTACATCTAACTCTGGATATTTAGAATTTTTACACTTATTAAGATCTTCAGTATTTAAACAAATGGTTGAAAGATAATAATCTTGTTTGAAATGATTCCAATTGTGACTGCCTATTCAATAAATTATTTAGGGCGTGGTAGTAATTTGCGTCTGAATCTTGGAGACGCGACGAAATTTGAGAGAAACAGTTCTCTAGAGTATTATCACAGGACTCAAAATGGGTAAACAAAAAATACAGGCTATAGAAGTCTGTAGATTAGCCTGACTGTCGAAAACGTGAAAAAGCTGTACCACGCTCCCTTATTTAATCACAATTTATTCACTAGATTTGACGATTTTATTACAACGCTTCGGTTAACTCCCACTCACAACTCTCGGCTTATTAGAAGGAAACACACTCAACCTTCCGTTGTAAGCACGTGGAACAGTGCCATGTATGGGGCGATATAACACGTGCCGCATACATGCTTGGTTGGGTATGTATAAACATGTTAATTTTTTGAAAGCTTAGAATAGCGAAAAATCAAAACAATGAAAGGTTTAAGTAAGCAATGACTACTTAATGGTATTCTTTTCTCCGACAATTGAACTTCTGCTCCTAACTTATCAGTTCTACCCTAATTTTCCGAGGTTTTGGGGCCTTGGGTCGATAGGAAATCCAGGCACAGAAGACACTTAGAAGTAAAATGACTGAGCATGCTCATCCAATTCCATCTGTTCTTGTACTCTTGGCCTCGCTCTCAAGATGTAATATTCAACCCGTGAGGCGTTTGTCAATATGATTCAAATACATCAGGTGATGCTATGCATCGTGTAAAGAGTTGATTCCAAGAAGAAGAATTTAACGCAGCAAATTTCTCTTCCGCAAAAACGTAGGAGGGGTTTGTGGCCTAGCCTTTGCGATTCGTTTGTGGATTATAAATTTCCCCTGTAGGGGAATCAAAATTGTGAGATAAAGCGACATCAGAGACCTTGGTAAGTTACTAAAGGACTTTAATCGAACTGTTTCATGGTTTCCAAGAGTGTATTGCGGTAACAAAATTATTCTCGAGTTCTTATCACCCTCTTGCTTGTTCGTTCGATTGTGTCATTTTTGTTTTGGTATGACGCTGTAGTCATTGTTTCGCAGAAATTGTGGACATATCATCAGCTGTGCATCCAAATTGTATCAGTCATCGTCACCGAAGAAAGGGGGTAAATTTTGAGCCGACTATCAACGCTGACTCGTTCTCATTTTTCACAACAAAGAAGAAGTGTAGGTATTCCATCACTTTAATGTACCACAATAATATTTATATTATTCAAGCAGGCTGTTTCAATCTCCTACGTGCCTCCTACACACGTCCGAAAAACTGAAAAGGCTTTGTTGAGTTATTCCTTGGCGATTTATGGTTAGTTTTTCTAAACTTGGAGACCATTACTCGATGTTAAATTTACAAAACCTTGCGCATAGAGACAAGTTAATCGGTAGATTTTACTACATATTTCATGGTTTTTCACACAAAAACTTACGCTTCCCTTGTATCAGCATTACCCAAATCCAGTTCTGATAAAAGAGCGGCGAACAAGCAATAATTTCTCCCTAAAATCGTTTTTTGGACGGAACAACCTTTCGCCATACATGTTGCAATGTTTGCTCCGCGTCTCAGAGATCTGTGCGCAAACATAAGTATCCGATTACTGGCAACTTTATCGTTAATACTTGCTTGTTTCCGATCGTCTTGGATGGCAACTGGGAAGGCGAACAAAGTCATGCCTGGATTAAAATTGTGAGACACATGCAGCGACATTACACGCGTTTAGTATGTTACGAAACGACATAATAATTTGAATTGAGTCATACGCAATAATTGAAGAAGAAGAAGAAGAAGCCTTAAAACCCTTCAACACATTAAATTTGTTATCGAAACCTATGCTGTAATTTCTATGGTTTCCAAAAGCGCGTTGCGGAAACAAATTAGTAATTTCGAATTGTTTCCACCGTTTAATTATGATGTAAAAAATCATTTTATTTCAGTTCCCGGAATGAGCTTTTTATTCCAGCAGTGAGCCGTTTTAAAGTCATTCGGCGACGTTCTCTTGTGAATGCTTTTGTCATAACATCGAGTATGGACAGACACGTACAATAAATTTTCAGCCTTTGGTACTTTTAGGTGCTTGAAAATCAACCTGCTATCAATAGAAGCCCTGAGCACAGTTACATTTAAGTCGGTATAAAAGTTTCATAAAATTATTGTTATGTAAAAGTTGCTTCAATTGAGTTTTTAAAAGGTAGACAATATTGATGCTATATAAATATGCTTAAAATTGATACTAACACATGTTAATATTAAAATTTTATACTTTAAATTAATGTTTATACTATATATCATCATCTAGAAAAACTATCGAAAACAATATAAGCGTGGAAGTAAAAAGACCTTTTAGCAATTTACATTCTGATTGCAGGTTAATAAAGCAGATCGTTATTTCTTGTTACTTTCTGGTGAATCTTATTATAAATGCCAGGATAATGCCTAACAGTTTTTTAGAATGTTGGTCTTCATCTGCCTTGCTTGCTTTTTTATTATGAATTTTGCAGCATATACATCTATAATTGGAGGACTGATACTACCTCGTGCATTCAATATGCCAGGGTTGCGCCTAAATCCTACCAGCTAGAAATATGCCGGAGGAGCACTAGTGACAAGTTTCTAAGTCGGGTGATTATCAGGAATACCAACAGTGAAGTGATGTGATTGAACCAGACATGAACATTATAATATGCTTTACATGTGAATAATACATTGTTGAGTTTAAATCAAGGAAATTTTGCTAAATATTATGTGACTGTTTCCTTCATCCTTGTCGATCTTAAGTTTCTTGTTCAGCAGAGTTTTAGCTTAACACTGTAGCCACTAAGACCTGCGCTTGTAAAGGTAAACAAAACTTAAGAATAGTATTGCCACTATACTGCCCCTTGTCATAGTGCTTCTGGTTAGAAAGATCCCAAGATGAAGTTTCTACTGTCTTGTACCTCTAGCTGGTAGTTTCTCAAGAGGCTCAAAAAATACTACCATTAAATCTTTCTGATTTCATTTCAGACTCTCTCTTAGGTTATAAACACCATTATGATCCTTTCCAAACTGGTTAGAACTCGTTTATTAAGATGTCGAGTGTGTCTGGTGAGTGAATTTTTCTTGAATTTTTTTCATTTTATTCAATTATGTTGATAATATAGGCATTTAGGATAGGAACCAGGGCTACCTGACCCTCTTTGTAAAAAGGTTTATGAACGATATTTAGAAGATTTTAAACATTCACAGGCATCTAGAAAAGATACATGTAAAAGTTAGTGTTTATGGTTTATACTCAAGGATAGGAGAGCCTCCGTAAGTGAGGAAGCAACTATAGTAATCCATCAAACTGAGAAGTCTTGGACACGAAGACACCAGCATGCAGTCGACACTATCCTTTACCATTGAGAAAAACATTTTGGAGGAAATAACCGTACACTCTAATCTCGACTATCACAATCCATAACCTCAGGAAACTTACAATTGCTTAAAACCTCCTGAAGACCTTTCCATTTAGTCTCTGGTGGATTAATTTTGATATTCGCCATTTCCATTCTCCACCTAGCTCGCCTTTCCTGTGTTAGCTCTGTGGGTACTTTTGATTGTACAGTGGTTGAAGATGAATCCTACTAAGAGACATCTTTCAGGTAAAAAAATGTCCTTGGTTAAGACTGCAATCCTTCTGAAAGCAGGAGAACACTGCAGTTTTAATTATTTGTCAGAATAGGGAAATAAAAAAAGAAGTTCCATTTTTGGTGCCTCTCTTTTTTGGTTTCACGTGTTGCTTCATAGTGAGTTATGCAATAGGGCAGGCAAACCCACAGGCTAAATCCACAAATTTTGTGCATAGGGTGTTATTGAAGTCAGGTCTTACAAAAACTTTACTTACAACCTTTACACCCTAACACCAGTGAGCATGTACATTTCCTAAGATGCTGACAAGAAGAATTTGTTTAACAATCAAGAGCTTCTTTAGTTGGTGATCATTCCCTTTATTCTTGTGACCTTAATCTGTGATTCATGGGTGATGTTGTAAGGAGAAATTAGGTGTTAGTCACTCCTAGGGGTACAAAGGGTTAAAACAGAAGTTCTAGTGAATGTGAAAACCATAAAAGCCTTTGCAAATAAATTTTCAATCTTCAGAACCAATAGATTGATGTTAAATTTGTGTTGCAGAAATCTTTCCCAGCCATGAAAACTTATCTGGTATGGAAGAAAATGGAATCAAGTGCAAGCCTCACAGGTAGAAAGAGGCATAATTAATGCTTTACTTCAGTGTTAAGGCTTAATTATATATCCAGCCATCAAGCTATGTGAACACATTAACCAAAGTCTGGAGACAGACCTCGTTATGTGACCCTCAGTGTCACATGAAAAAGTTACTACTGCCTTGGAAACGTTACCCAAGGACAAGGTTAATTATCTTATAACTTTTGCTTCCTTGTTAAGTGAGAGTGTAAGGATTTGTTCCTCAGGAAAAGTGTTGTTTTCTTAGAAAGGTATGGTAATAAATTTGAAGACAGTGGTTTACAGCACAACCTCACCTGAAAATTAATTCTTTTTTAGGCCAGACAAAAGTGGCCAAGAACAAATTCTTAAATTTTATGGACGTCTAGGACAGTTGGAGGAGCCAAAGTGTGACGATACACATCACCCAGAGATCTGTTCATACCAGTTAACCAAGTTAATGGAACATCATGTGTCTTGTGATGTGAAATTGTGTGGGTCTTCAGAGATTCAAATGGCTTCTGTGAATCCACAAATGGGAAAAGCTGTTGATGACTGGGAAACATTGCCAAAGGAAAAAGTTACTTATAAAGTACAGGAGGCAGTGAAAACAAACCTGGAAAATGGATTTAATTTCTTGTTCCTTAAATGTGGGAACATTTATCAAGCCTTGAGTTTTCCTCCCATCTTTAAGGAAAAAGAAAATGCTGAAGGCAGAAGTGCTATAAATGTAAATATTATTATGTTGGACTCTATCTCAAGATCACACTTCTATCGAACTATGCGAAAAGCCACAGAAGCTTTGAAGAAGATTAGTGAAGATCCTAAAATCAAGTCCACATATTTGGACTTTGAACTTGTTCAAAGCATTGGTCAACAGACTTTTGAAAACTTGAGACCATTCTTCAGCGGTGTTCTGAAAGGTGTGTTTGCAAAATGTTTCACTGTTTATAATTTATTAGTGATTGCTTGTTTACAGTTTGCTTGGTGAAAAAGTTTGCCATAAGTGAAAAAGGTTCGAGTAGTAAGGGCCAATTAAAAGGAGTTTGTCAACATAAGTCACCATTAAATTTAAATATTCTGGACTAACATTATTTGTGGATCATGAGTTCTGATCATCTGATGAAAGGTAGAAGTCTTGAAAAGAATCAACTGTTGCTCAAAGCTACTATTTCAACAACCTTAGTAGAAGTTATCATCAAAGTCAGATGACTCAATGATTATGTCTGCTCAGGTTCTCAAAATATCTTCAACTCCCTGCTATCAACAACAGTCCTTTTTCAGAACCCTCTTACCCAGACTTATAAACCACATGACCAGTGCTATTGAAAATTATACTCGGTTTCTTACTTGTCTTAAACCTGATTAAAGTCGACCACAGGTAAATTAGGATTGCCACTACTGCTGCTACTGCTAGTGCTACTGCTGCTGTTGCTACCAATATTAATACCAAGATTAATTTTTTTGGTAAATTTATCAGATGACAATGAAGTCAGTGTCTCTGCAAGCAATAAAAATGCTCCTTTGGGTGTGGAAGTGCTATATGGGGCTGTAAAAAGTGGGGCTATCAGACACTCTTTCAAGAGGACCTTTGCTGGTATGATATATGGGGAAGTGCATTAACAGATAATGAAAGGAGAAAAATTCCTAAAACAAATTCTGAATTTAGAGAGAGGTGAGTAACGTGTAGAATCATAGTTATTAATTTGTTTGGAGTCAATAGGGGCATTCTTCTCTCTTTCAAAAAAAGAAAGAAAGGTACAGTTTCACCAGCCAAGTGGCCCCAAACCGCAGAAGCTGATCCCCATATTGTCATCATGAAGCGTCAAGGACTATTGCTTCTTCATACAGATGGGCCACTAGTCCATTATAGCTAAACCCCAGCTGCTTTCCTGACAGTTTCTTGCTCAAGGTGTTGAAATTATAGGGGGAGAAAAGCACTACGAGAGTAAAAATCATACCATCCACATCCCAGTTAACCAAAGTTTCCAGTAAGACATCTTTCCATCATGAGTAGATATGATGAGCAACGAACAAGAACTGCTTTATAAGTATAACATGTAATGAATAAGGAATTCTGGTCTGCAAAATATTGACAACAATGTCAATTAGATAAGAATAGGTGAATAATTGGATATTAACCCCTTAACTCCCAAAATCTGATTGCTAATTCTCCCCTCTTGCTGCTACACATTTCCTTTAAGTTACAAGAATTTGGTGTTAGATAGAGATAACAACCTCTAGCTGATATATTTGAATATTCTCATTACCTGTTTGCTGGATAGTGCGTAAATATAATAGGGAGAACTTACATGTTAATCACCTCTGGGAGTTAAAGAGTTAACTTTAACTTTACATTTTTTGTCGCTAATGCACTATTATTGGTCAGAGTGGTAATTAGTGTTAACTATTTCAAATCAGGTGGAAAGAATTTCAGGAAAAGATGGCAAAGAAAATGGTTGACCATTTTGGGATTACACATTTTTCCTGCACGGTGTTGAACAGAATTGGAAGGACCAATCACTATGACAATCCTCAGAAAATTTGTCTTAATGGGCAGTTTTACAGTTGGTACCTCTTTGACTACATAAGAAAGGTGTATACTGCCTTAGAAAACAACAGAAAAGCCAAACCATTGGTCTCATACATGCATTTCAACACGGGACATGAGATGACAGGGAAACGAATGATCAACATGGATGCCAGCATGGCAAAGTTTTTCACAGATATGGCCTTGTTTCCAAACACTTTGACCGTGATTTTTTCAGACCATGGTCACAAAATGACTCCATTCAGTTACTCTGAAGAGGGAAGGAGAGAGTTATTTGATCCAGCCTTCTTCATGATCGTCCCTGATGGTGTTAAAGAGAAACTGGGTCCAGAAAGGATGGAAGCTTTGGTAACAAACCAAAAGCGCATCTTTATGTTGTATGATGTTCACAAAGCACTCATGAGTTTGCATGATTCTCAAGAGAAGGACTCTAGGGATTATTCAGTTTCAGGGATATTTTCAGAGATTTCGGCCAACCGCACTTGTGCAGACTTGTACATGCTTCCCTTGACAAGATGCAGATGTGAAGGTTTTGATGAAGAAATTCCTGTAAAGGATAATGCAGACGATCAGATGTGGTTAGCAGAATTTGCTCTGGGACATATCAATGATGCTATTCAAAAACAACACATGAGTGGTAAGATGTGCAGTGTTATTTGTTCTCTGTTAATTCTGCTTTTAATTGGCAGTGAAAGTAAAGTACTGCTACTGAAACAAAAGCCCAATGAAGTTTTGATCAAATTGTAGAAAGCTAGGGTGAGTTGAGGCAGGGTGGGGTGAGGGAAAGTTAGGTGAGGGAATAAAAGAGATGAGTTCTGTGGGTTAGAAAGGGTTTGATTATACTGGTTGGGATGAGGTTTGGTACAGTAGGACTGGTAGGGTGGGTACTGTTACACACTGTAGTTGAGATGAGGGTGGAACAGGGTAGATGTGATAAGGTGGGTTGATAGAGAGAAGATGCAGAAGATAAAATGGAGTCAGGTTAGGCTTCTGAAACAAAAACAAGGTGAAGTTATTTGAGGCGAGATGTAATGTGGTGAAGATGAGTGAGGAAAGATTAGGTGAGGTGTGTTGGGTTGAAGTGACAAGTAGTGAGGAGAGGTGAGGAAATATTATTAAAGCTGTCGTGGTTTGAAGTGACTGAAATGAGCTGACCTGAGGTAAAGAAAGATCATTTGAGGTGTGTTGGGGCAAGATGAACCAGACCTTAACCCTAACCCTATGGGGAACTGCTGTGAGATGATACTCCTGACTCTAAGAAACGAAGTCCATTTAATTTCCTTTTTATTTATTTTTCACTCATTTTCGTCAGGAAATGGTGATTCAGAGAATAACTATGGCTATGGAAACTGCCAGCGCTTGGTCGGAAAATCAATTGAGAAGGTTTTCAAACGATTCCGTGGAGAATACATCTTGACCACGATGGACATTCACGTGATCCCTCCAGCCGGATTCACAGAGGATGAAGTTTATCGAGTCTCTGTCAAACAGTTTGCCAAACCACAACAAGGAGTATTTTTTTCTCAGTTCTGTCCGGGTAACAATGTATAACAAGTTTGCCTTGTGTGCAGATAAGTCCGTGGATATTAAGCTCTGCGCATGCTCCAAAGAGCAAACCGCAGACGCCGAGATGAAAGAAGTGTTGTTTGACAATGGAGTTCCTCGCGAAATGTTTGGTTCGGACACAATTGTGAGAGACTTGGATTCAAACTGTTTGTTATTCTTGCGACGGAATCATGGGACGTTTTCATTTGGGTTAGAAGTTGCAAATGTTTGCACAAGTCGAACTTATAAATTTGAACTAACAGGCTCAATGGATCAAAGGATATTTTCCAAGACTTTGCCCATTGGGCTGGAATTATTCCCAAAGACGTTTGGTTTTTTGACTTCTGTCAACAAATACCTCTCAAAAGTAAACGAACCGTTAGGATTGAAAGCAAGTGTGAAAGTTAAGAAGGATGGATCAAACACCTTTACTGATTTGGGGATTTTCAGTGTTACATGACAGTAAATACAGTTTTCAAACCGTGAGAAAATTATTCCTCCGGACAAGACAAGGGAAACTTCATCTGTACATAAAGATCTTAAATACTTCAATTCCGTGTATTTACATTTCTTTTAGCCAACTTTATGCTGTTTGATTTATGAACTTGTTTGTTATTTTTTGTGACAAAGCCATTGTTGTTACTCGAATGACAAAGCGCTGTCTATACTAATGAGATTTGTTTGCTGGTTGCAGTCGCTAGTGTAGAAATTCCTCGTTACGCAATTTTTAGCTGACCAGAAATGGATGTTTGGAGGTCAAAAATGTTATGAAAATAGGGAAATACAGACACTTAGAGTAAGAGGTAAACTTACCTTACTGTTACATGAGTCTGTTTACAATCTGACTGCAAAGAAAATTCGGCCGCGTTCCATCGAAAGCGAGAGCTTGTCTAATGCGGAATCGCGTCGGCCATCCAATCAGAGTGCCCGAGCCAAGAACAAAGGAAAGATCTCGAGAATCGCCATAACGAAAGAAAATGTTCGAAATTATGCTTGAACCTGCTTTTTGTGTGCTTTGAGAAAAACAACATAGTGTTCCGAGGATCAATTGGTGGCTGCTTCTGTCCTTGATTGTTCTGAAAAAAAAGAAAAAATTTGTCTTGTTAGAAGTTTTGGCAGGTGTAAGTATCACTAATTACTGTATTATCCAACTGCACTACGTAGAATGCAAATAACGCGCGAATCAAGTACAGATATTTTCCCACTTTTTATGAAATGCGCATGAAATAAAGCAGTTGGACAATAGATAATTTTGACTCGCCCTGCGGGCGATACGACACAAATCTTAAAAATACCCAGCGATACTACACACCAAACTTCTAATAAATATATGTATTTATCTTGGTATTGTGTTGTTTCTTACGAGCTTGGAATTTAGTACAACCACTAACTTACATAAACGACCCGTTGTCATTTAGCGTCGGGGGGGCGGGGGTAGGAGGAAGTGGGAAAGGGGGAGGAGGGGGTAGGAAGGGGAGGAAGGGAAGAAGGGGGAGGAGTTTGGTTGTTTCAGGATAAATTTTATCTGATCCCCCTGCCTTTCTTGGCAGCAGTCAATTTACTATACTACCCCACTTTAACCTCTGATGGTAACAACTGACCCACCTCTATTTCCCCTTCCCCCAGTTAGCATTCTTGCCAATCAACTGTGAAGTAACTAAGCCTCAAACCTCTCTTTACCCAATCTGGGAGATACGTTGAACCTTTTAGCTCCTGCAATTTTAAGGCCTTGAGTATTCTTGTTACCTGTTTGCTGGATACTGTATGGATGGTACAGGGAGAACTTACTTGTAAATCACTTCTGAGAGCTAAGGCTTAAACAGTTAGGAGCTACTCTGGTGGGCATTTTGTCGACTAAAAGAATGACTAACTTTGTGTCCCTGACCATGTTAGTAACAAATAGCAGCAGCCAAAGGCCATTAAAGCACATTGACATGTCACTTGTCCCCATAATATCCACACATTATCCAGCAAGCAGGCAATGAGAATACTCAAACTTATCAGGTAGAAGTTTATCAATAAAATTCAAGTAATAATTTGTGTATCACTCTATGAGTCCTTGCACTCTTACCTTGTACTTGTATTTGTTCAAGCGTTGGCAGTGAAGGAAATAATCGCAACTGAATCGCTGTTGTGATTAGTAACACAACTGAGAGGAAGATGATAAACATCTGATTACAAAACAAAAAGAAAAACATACCATCTCATATCAACCACTGTGTATCTCTTGGATTCCATGATCATAAAAGTTTTTTTTATTGTAATGCAAAATATCTCATGTTCACAGATGTGCCAAAATCATCCAACATTCATCAGCTGTTCCTTGGTACACAACTTACACATGTATAACAATAATTACATTGTTACCTACACTTAAAGAACTTTGTTAGTTATAAAAATAAGTTACTTCCCTAATCTACATTACCAGTTGCCTTTGTTAGAAAACCTTGGAACAGTCAAGCTCAGTTGCCTCAAACACTGTAAGAGACTTTCAGTTCACATTATTTTTAGTAGAAATTTCATGCCT